AAAAAAAAAAAGACTTTGTCAACTAATAGTGTCCAAATTGTGTGTAGCAGAGATGAGAATAAACATTTTGAATCTTTACATGTAATACATATGAGTTATGCAATGTCATTCTTCATGATTGAATAAGACACATGAACATTGTTCTTGTTGTACAGAGGACCAGAAACACACTCAGAATGAAAGAAAAGACTGCTCTGGAACCTTCCATTTCAGTTCTTGAGCTTAATTTAAGTGTCCTGTCTTATGATCTGCTATAAGCAATAATACTCCATACCTTTGCATGGTTCTCTATGGTTTGATAAAGCACTTGTAATTTTTCTCATTTCATTCTTACAGAACTACTCAGAAAAGAGCCTTATTGTTATTGAACACATGAGGAAACGGATGATTAGAGAACTTAAATGACTAGCTCTAAGTCACACTGCTGGGAATTGCAATCAGTCCTCCAAAGTGTAATAGCAGTGTACTGTAAAATATAAATTATAGAGCTGTGTTGGGTCAAGATTTTTACTGATCCTGAGGGGAGGCAACATTAGCAAGAAAAAATCATTTGTATTTCATGTTTTGGATTATTTTCTCCCCATAGACAAAAGACTGTGCATTAAAAGAGGTTCGGGGCATAGAAAACTCCACTGCAAAGTGTGGTACCATTTCCTGGAGAAGCTAAATGGATGAGAAGCCTACCACAAAGAAAGGTAAAGCCAGTGCTCTCATTTGCAGAGTATGTTATAGAAGAGTGGAAGCTTATCCCCGCTGTTCTTTACCCATCCCTGCCCTCCTTTCCTCCATTCTCTATCCTGCTGCTCCCTTATAGAGATTCTCCCAGTTTAACATCAGAGCCAGCTCCACCCCCTGATCTTGTCAACTGTTGCTTTTGCCTTAGGGAGCCTTACAGTGTTATCTATCAGAAATTTATTCAAATGATTGATCAATTTTTTTTATCTAAGGAGTGAAATAAGTTTTCAAAAAGTCATGTTAAGCAAACCCCCGACCTATGTATAAGTCTCTGCTATTAATATTCTTGCCAAGTGATTGCCTGTTTCTCCTGAGCTTTCCCAGTAATGTGGAAATATTTATTTTTTGCAGGCAACCAATTCTATCTATGAGCTTATTTGGCCATTAAAAATTATTTGTTTCATTATGTTTTTATCCATTTATTCATGGGTTATCTCTTTGTTTAGTCCTTGTTCTTCAGCTATGCAATCTAATCCATCATCCACACAGGAACTCTTTCAATACTGGTCTACTCCAAGTTCCACTTTGTGGATACTTTAGAAAAAGAAGGTGTTGCCTTTGAAATATATTGAATACTCCTCTAGTGCCATATCACCTACAAACTTAGTACAAAATGATTCAACATATTAATTTTTTTAAGAAAATATATTGGATATGTGTGAAGGCAGGCCCCACTGACAGAGCAAAAAGTAGATGTTATTCTAAGGAGTTTGTGAAAGCACTCATTTAAAGTACTATCAGTTATTTTAAAAGTGAATCCTTAGATGTGCAAAAGCTTATTTAAAAGGTGGCTCTCTGTCTATAAACTGTAACTTTGTGATACATAAGTGTGTTTAACAGTTGAGAGCACTGACTTGCAGCCGAGAGACTTGGGTTTTGTGACTGGCTCTGCCACCTTCTTCCCTATTCACTCTACTTTGGAGCAATACAACGTGAATATATTTACATTTTTCTCTATCATCTACTTCCCACACCCTGAAAGAAGACCATATTTGCTTTACTTGATTATAAGATTCCATTTTCATGGGCTCAGCGCCTATAGCTCAACTGGCTAAGGCTCCAGCCACGTACACCTAAGGTGGCGGGTTCGAATCCCCAGCCCGGGCCGCCAAACAACAATGACAGCTGCAACCCAAAAATAGCCGGGTGTTGTGGCGGGCGCCTGTGGTCCCAGCTACTTGGAAGGCAGAGGCAGGAGACTCGCTAGAGCCCAGGAGTTGGAGGTTGCTGTGAGCTGTAATGCCACGGCACTCTACCCAGGGGGACAGCTTGAGGCTCTGTCTCAAAAAAAAAAAAAAAAAAGGATTCCATTTTCACTGTCTTAAAGCCAACCAAAGAATTTGACAAGGGAAATTTGTAGTCCTGGCTATTTTAGTGGAAAAAGACAGTGAGACTGCATGATATCACCCAAAGTTCTTCCACATTTAGCAGTGGGAGAAATGAAGAAAAAAGGGTTTCAGTTAGGGTGCTCACGCTTGCATGCTTCTGTGTTTTCTAGGTCCAGATTTCTGTTCATTACGCTATGGACTGGCTCTCATCATGCACTTCTCAAACTTCACTATGATAACCCAGCGTGTGAGTCTTAGCATTGCAATCATTGCCATGGTGAACGGCACCCAACAGCATGGTCTCTCAAATGCCTCCACTGATGGGCCTCTTGCAGACGCCCTCAATAACCTCAGCAGATCCACAGTAGAATTTAATAGAAAAGTAAGTGTGACAGAAAGCAAGTCTCTTTGTTAAGAGAGAGAAACTCAACTTGAAAGGAAGGCTTGGATCTTGATTCTGTAGAATATAGAACTGTGAATTTTCTTTTCTTTTCTTTTCTTTTTTTTTTTTTTGAGACAGAGACTCAAGCTGTCCCCCTGGGTAGAGTGCTATGGCATCGCAGCTCATAGCAACCTCCACCTCCTGGGCTCAAGCAAGTCTTCTGCCTCCGCCTTCCAAGTAGCTGGGACCAAAGGCACCCACCACAGTGCCCAGCTACTTTTTGGTTGCAGCCGTCATTGTTGTTTGGCAGGCCTGGGCTGGATTTGAACCCACCACCTTAGGTGTATGTGGCTGGCACCTTAGCCACTTGAGCCACAGGCGCTGAGCCAACTTTTCAATAACAAACTAAAAATGACTGGAATTATTTTTCTTTAAGACGTTGCTTACCTCTGATGAAAATAATCTTTCATTGAGATTACTGTGATTCCCAGGTGGGGAAATGCTAGGGGAGAATGTGAAAAATTTAAAAATAGCATAGATTATGGGATGTCTTCTATGAAAAACTAGGTATTGTCTAGGCACATTCTTCTAGGTTACCCAATTCTAGTCAGGTCTCTGCATATTTTATTGTTTTTGAGCTATTTTATAACCCTGTAAATTCTATATATAATGAATAGAAAGGCAAATGGTTCTTGTCCATAACTATGCAAATAAGTTTTGCCCAGTGGAAAATCAACTGGGAGTCTTCATTACTCAGCACCCAATTGAATCAGCCAGTTTTGTCAACTATTTAAAGTCTATTTTAGCATTGCTTTCTGCTTACATGGTGTTTATGTGTAGTTCTTTAAATTTGCCTTTGAACCAGTTATAATGTCTTACTGATTCTTTCATTAATTAATGATTTAAATAAAATCTTTGTCACATGTTTATTTCATATTTGAAAATCATGACTGTACCCTATTTAAAAAATTATCCTTTAAACTACCACTTACTGTACATTTCTAATGTTATCCCTATAATTCATAATTCATGATCTTATTATATTGGACCCAGCTTATTTATAAGGAATAAATACAAAAAATTATTACCTTCATTTTTTCTTCCATCATCCATTCTACTCCTCCTAAGATCCAGAATCCAGGACACCTTCAAGTTGCCAAACATGCTGTGCTCCTCTAGAATCCAGTCCTACTTCTCAACACACTCCTATGTGCTACTAATGGCCCAGGGAAAGTCTTTACTCTGAACAAGCCAGAGTTCTCATTAGTTTCTGGTATCATTCCAGATATCCATATCATCTGGTATCATTCCAAATATTCCAAGCTCATTTGTTGTTGTTTTCTCCAATAAGAATGATTTTTTCTTTTTCTCTTTACACAAATCATAACTGTTCTTCAAAGGTTCATTGAGAAATTGCCTTCTTCCTGGCATCTTCCCAAATTGTTCTTCATGCTTCTCTAAGTCCCTATTTTATTTACATTCATTCTTCGCGCCTCAAAGTCCCTATATTATTTATGTTCATTTTCTAATTTTCATTATCACATGAATCATATGCCTTGCATTATTTATAGTGTTAAGTGGATAAAAATTTCAAAGAATATTTCTATTCTTTGGCTCTCTACGTTAACTTATAGCATGATGCCAAATAGCTTGCAGCATTATAGCATGATACCTAAAAGTTATTTAATTTATGTATTTTAGGTAGTTATTTCCAAAACTCAATTGTTTATTGAGTTATAGCAGAAGAAGAACATGATCTTATTCATTTGTACTATGTGCTTTAGGAAGTCAGTTTTGCTAGGACAGACCATAATTCTCAAACTTGATTTTTCTTTTTAATTAGGGGCTGATTTTAAAAAGAGTTCAGAAAATTTATGTTTTCCCTATTCTTTGATATAAGTCAGTATTATTCTCTACTTTTACCAGAAAGTACTAGAAACAAGTAGAGGAAACTCTCACAGATGAAATGTTTCTCAATGCCTTTTTCCATTTACTTCTTCCTATTATTTCATTTATATAATTATTTTATTTCTCTCTTTTTTTCTTCACATTCTGGGTTTTATTTTTTCTCTTCCTCTGGGAGAATCAAATTAGGGATGTAATTGGTCATTTATTTGGAAAAGATGGAATGTTTAAGGTAGGTTAAAAAATAGAGAAAAACAAATAGATATTTTATCGTAGGGTCTCACCAAACCTAAGCAACTCTAACTGTAAAGCAGATTTTCATAAAGAGATTTCTCAGCAAAGTTTTCTTTTCTTCTTCTTCTTCCTTTTTTATTTCTAGGTCTCTGTGTATCAATGGAGCCCAGAGATTCAAGGTATCATCTTTAGCTCCATCAACTATGGGATAATATTGACTCTCATCCCAAGTGGATATTTAGCAGGGATATTTGGAGCAAAACATATGCTTGGTGCTGGTTTGCTGATCTCTTCCCTTCTCACCCTCTTTACACCATTGGCTGCTGACTTTGGAGTGACTTTGGTCATTGTGATTCGTACAGTCCAGGGCATGGCGCAGGTATCCAGATACTTTCTCATTCTGAGTGGGCTCCAGATTCATAAATTCTAAAAAAGAACAAAGAACTTAATAATTTTCATTTCAGGGAATGGCTTGGACAGGTCAGTTTACAATTTGGGCAAAATGGGCTCCTCCACTTGAACGAAGCAAGCTCACCACCATTGCAGGATCAGGTAAGGATGTATGTGTGAGTCTCAGCTTTGTTATCTGTTCCATACTACTGTGTAATTCCTTCTATGAACGAGATAGTTTTGAAGAAAGGGAAAAACTGGAAAATTCAGTATAAGACAGTTATACAACAAATAGGAAAGTTACGTCTGTGCTGTAAAGACGCTGAGGCTCAAAAGCAGGAGAGACAATGGGTGAGCTAGGGTAGTCAGGAAATCCTTGCAGGAAAAAGTTTAAAATTTAAGAATTTTATTAATGTAAGCAGGTCAAATAAACTTTATAAACATCATTTTAGCAAAGATGTTGATGTGAGAATTAAACCTTGTAGAACACAAAATGTTAAGGAAAAAAATCAGACTGGAAATGTCTGTATTATCTGGAACTCTTTACTATTCTGAGTTAATTAATTGTCACAAGGATCCTCTCATTTAAGTACTATTTTAAATTCTTATTATTCGGAGAGAGGAGTTAATGAATGTAGAGATTAAGTAAATTGTCCAAATTCTAATAGCCAGGAGGTGGTGGAACTGAGAGTTAGGCCCAAGCAGTTTGGCCCCAACCACCCTGCCGGACGGCCTCTCTCTGGTGTGTGATCCTCCACATGGTGTGATGTGTAAGGCCACCACAGCCTTACCACTGCTGTCTTCCCAGACTGGAGTGCTGAGAATACATCCTTGAAAAACGGAACTGAGGTTCCATCAAGCTTCTCCCTATCAGGACTAATACACGGCTCCATCCGGTGAACTTTGACTTCAAAACTCTCCTGCTCTCTTGCTTCCTTCCATCGCAGTTGCTACCACCTCTATTTCCAAATACTTTGTACTGGCCTCTCTTCTCTATCTTGGTTTCTTCCAAAGTTTTCTTCCCATCAAAACCAAGTTATCTTTCTAAAGAACAGATAGGGTACTTTTGCTTACTTGCTTGAGAATCTTCAATGTGTTCCTTTATGTTTACAGAGTAAAGACTGACCTCCTTACTACATGGAAATAAAGGTGCTCAGTCATCTGGCCCCAGCCTCCAAGCAAGTGCAAGCAAGTCTCTAGTTGCACCTTATGTGTGCTTCTCCCCACACACATCTGTACTTCACTTCCCTCTGGCTCTGCTCCCACGGGCTCATTTTCCTGGAACGTTCTCTGCCCCATTCCTCTTGCCAAAATTCCACCTAACCTAGTACTTAGCTCATATAAACAATTCCTAAATCTTATAATTGTGATTAGAATAGATAGAATAGAAAATATTGGAGTACATTCCACATGATAAAATTAAATATTGATTCATGAAAGTTTTGATTGAAGCACGTGCGCATGGTTGTATGTACAAGTATTTGTGTACATTTGTGTGTCTGTGTTATATTACCCTGTAAAATGTATTTCATCCTGTGGGTCTCTATAAATTATGTTTTTTTTTAATGTAGACTCCAATGTCTACAAAGAATTTCAGTTGCGATAGTGAATTTCGTTCACATTTTTCTCTCTCCAATTGGACCAAAAGCTCCTTGAGGGCAGAGACTCTATCTTACTGACTTTTGTCTTTCCTTTTCTGCTCCTAGGCTCATATTGCATCATGCAAAAATGTATTTGTAGCCATAAAGAAATACTGGTGGGCTGTGATTGCAGAGAGTCTCTGTGATAGATTAAGGGATTTAGGTTTGGTCACATTGGTACTGAGGAGCCATTCAAGAGTTATGTGGATGAACTATATAGTGATGAAGTCAAGGATATTTATTTAATTATATCACATGACTTTATTGGGGAAAATTTGTTAGTGGAAGTAAATATTCTTATCATCCAGTAATTTTAAGTCTGCCACATCATTATTGGGGCAATGTTCAGGGAGGCCATGAAGTTTTAAGCCTTTCCCATTTTTATAAGTGTTTTTCTCTCTCTTCCCCACAGGGGTAGCATTTGGATCCTTCATCATCCTCTGTGTGGGAGGATTAATCTCACAGGCATTGGGCTGGCCTTTTATCTTCTACATCTTTGGTAAATTACTTTCTTTTAAATCCAAATATCTCAATTTTCCAAGAATTCACTTGATGCCTATATCACCCACATTCTTCCCATATAAGAGAAAATGGCCTTTGTTAAGTGGAAGATGAAAAATGTCGAGAATTGAAATCTTTCTTAATCTAGTAACACAACTTGATTTAACACTTTCCTGGTGGTTCTGGGAAGCCACATGTGTAGGGAAGAAGAGATGACTATACACACACAGCGTCGACTTCTGGGAAATCAGGAGTGCAGCCTTGCCTTTCTGCGTCAAGCATGTTCTGTAGAATATATATTTGAAATGCCGGTTTAGTCACTTATGTAGTTAAGATGTCAAAGATGGGGGGTGGCACCTATGGCTCAAAGGAGTAGGGTACCAGCCCCATATGCCAGAGGTGGTGGGTTCAAACCCAGCCCCTGGCCAAAAAAGATGTCAAAGATGGTGAAATAAGTTTTTAATATATCGTTATATTTTATTATACTTATTATTTTTGCCCCAAATGTCCTTAACTTAGTCTCTACCAAGTGCATCTTGCAAAGCTCAGTCCAGATGTCCCCTTTTCCATGGAACCTTCCAGGAGTTATCACATCCAATTCAGCCATTCTGTCCTCTGTGAATCCTTGAACTATTACTTCTCTAGGTTATACTGATGTTTGATCTTTTATTTTCCCTTATCCCACACTAGACTAGTGAAATGCTTGAAGCAAGGAATTTATAATATTTTTATCATTTTAGTGTCATTAAAGGGCTTGACTTTAAAATAAAAGTGTGGATAAATCCAGTAATTAGAGGGAACTTAAAGAACATTAGTCCCCACAATCTTTTAATATAGAATCTTCTTTAAATAACATAGAATCTTCTTCTTCAAGTCCCTATAATGAGACAAGTTTCTACAGATTTGCTTGTTATTGTAGCCAAATGATATATTAAATATGGTTCTGACTTGGATGGCTTTCTCATTACTGATGCTAATCCCAGATCATTTTGGTTTGTATATGTTAACCAGGTATTGTCAAGAAATATTTCTCCTGGAAATTCATATTAGATGTTTGGTTTGAATATAAATAATACTGTCTCTTGTAAATATTGTTGAAAATTTTTCCTTGCCACACTGATTTCATGGAAGGTTGTTTCGTGTATGTATGACTATACTTCTTCTTTAGTCCTGGCTATTCAGATTTTCCAAAATAAGACAACAATATGTGCATTAAGAAGTGCTGTTGAAAACATATAACACTATAATGATGGGAGGCTTTAGAGTAATTAATCAGCTACACAATGTCATGTTGTCTCCAAGGGGCTCTGACACTGAAAAATAGTGACTTTATATTTGAGCAGTAGTATCTGGAAAGTTTTAAGGGAAGAAGGAGGGTTGTAGAAGGATTGAAAGAAAGAAATGGGGAAATTTAGGTCCTTATGGTAGAATAACCATGAATCGATAAGTATGTGGTAGGGGAGACATGCCACTTCAGAGGCAATTCCCTTCCCCCAATACACAGGTATACCTGAAAACCAATTTCATCCCCACTTCCAGGTAGCACTGGCTGTTTCTGCTGTCTCCTATGGTTCACAGTGATTTATGATGACCCCATGCATCACCCTTGCATAAGTGTCAGAGAAAAGGAGCACATCGTATCCTCACTGGCTCAACAGGTACTGTGCACCTCTTGTGCCTGTGGACCACACAGAGCCCTCCAGCAAAGGGTATGGGTCTCCTGGGGAGGCACCCTCTGGCCTGTTCTAATATTCATATTGATTAACTATTTCCTTTCAGTCCAGTTCTCCTAGACGATCTGTCCCCATAAAGGCTATGGTCAGATGCCTTCCACTTTGGGCCATTTTCTTGGGTTTTTTCAGCCATTTCTGGTTATGCACCATAATCATAACATACCTACCAACGTACATCAGTACTGTGCTCCATGTTAATATCAGAGATGTGAGTATACTTCCTATACTTCTATGAAAATGATAATAATGGCCATGAGGAGCAATACAGTAGAACCTCTAAAGTTGACAACCTCTATAGCTGACCACTTCCCTACACTGACTACCTCCTTAAGTTGACCTAATTTTACTACATATGCACTGCATGTATGTATCAGTACAATCAGTCTACTTCCTCATGTTGACCACCTCCATATGTTGACCAGTTTGTTACAGTCCCTGGGGTGGTCAATTTATAGAGGTTCTACTGTAGTTCTATACTACCTGTGACATTCTGACTTTGCAAAGAACCATTCATTTAGTCTTTACAATGATGTTGAGAAGTTGTAATGATTCCTATTTCAAAAATGTGCAAATGGGACATGTAGAGGTGAGATAACTTGCCCCAGGTTATACTCTAAGACAGTAGTTCTCAACCTTCCTAATGCCACAGCCCTTTAATACAGTAGTGGTTGAGAACTGCTACTCTAAGAGCTGTTGCAGCATATATGCTATTAAACACTGCACTATATCACCATACCAGCTGGCTCTAAAGTTTCTTTTAGAAATTAATATTGCTTTTATCTGGAGCCCAATATGATGCAGCTGCTGGCCCTCTTACCTGAGACACTGTTCTTGTAGTGTGAAAATGGATGCTAATTTCCCCCAAACAACTCAGAATTTCAGGGAGTGGTGGGTTGGCTACTGGTTGATGTAACTGATAAGGTTTGGTGCTATATGCACCTCTTCTCTGTAACTACTCTGTAAAATTTCCTTTTTTCAGAGTGGGGTTCTGTCTTCCTTGCCTTTTATTGCTGCCTCAAGCTGTACGATTCTAGGAGGTCAGTTGGCAGATTTCCTTCTGTCCAAGAATCTTCTCAGATTGATCACAGTGCGAAAACTCTTTTCATCCCTAGGTAAGGATAGGCGTGTGGGTTTGGTTAACCAATCCCTTTTCCATGCATTTGGTCTGAGAAGGATCCTGACAGCGTATCCTCATTGCCCAGGGCTCCTCCTTCCATCACTGTGTGCTATGGCCCTGCCCTTTGTGGTTTCCAGTTACATGACAACCATTATTTTGCTGATACTTATTCCTGGGACCAGCAACCTGTGTGACTCAGGGTTCATCATCAACACCTTAGATGTCGCCCCCAGGTAAGAGCTTTACCTATTCCCTGCCCCCCTCTTTAGAGGTGTCAGACCTCAGTCACCACCACACAACTCTTTCATGTTGTAGATGCATGCTAGCTGATGGCAGAATGACAAATAACTAGATCTGTCATTGTGTGGCTATGACCTAGACCTAATATGGCGTTTTTATAACAACAGTCCACAATCTTGCCTAGTAATCATTTAGATAAAAGACTTTCGGCTCGGCGCCTATAGCTCAACCGGCTAAGGCGCCAGCCACGTACACCTAAGGTGGCGGGTTCGAATCCCCAGCCCGCACCCGCCAAACAACAATGACGGCTGCAACCAAAAAATAGCCGGGCGTTGTGGCGGGCGCCTGTGGTCCCAGCTACTTGGGAGGCGGAGGCAGGAGACTCCCTTGAGCCCAGGAGTTGGAGGTTGCTGTGAGCTGTAATGCCACGGCACTCTACCCAGGGGGATAGCTTGAGGCTCTGTCTCAAAAAAAAAAAAAAAGACTTTCCAATCTTTTTGCCAGAGATTGGACCATGTACTCTAGGAAAAGACCCACACACATGTGTTTTAGAAAAGTTTTCAGGGTCCAATCCCTGTGCTGAAGACTTGTCATTTATCAACACACTAGATCCTCACAATAACAATAGGTAGGCTTTGGCAGTGCCTGTAGCTTAGTGGGTAGGGCACTGGCCACATACACCAAGGCTGGCAAGTTCAAATTCGGCCTGGGCCAGCTAAAACAACAATGACAACTGCAACAAAAAACAGAGCCGTGTGTTGTGGCTGGTGCCTGTACTCCCAGCTACTTGCAAGGCTGAGGCAAGAGAATCGCTTAAGCCCAAGAGTTTAAGGTTACTGTGAGCTGTGATGCCATGGCACTCTACCAAGGACAACATAGTGAGACTGTCTCAAAAAAAAAAAAAAACAGTATATAGGTCTTCTCATTTATCCCCATTTTACAGGGGAGGAGATTGAGGCCTGAGGAGATTAAGTGATATGACTATGATTATACAAGGGCCCAGATAGCTTAGTCCCAGGCAGTGTGGTTTTGGAGTCTGTGTCCTGCCCATTGCACAGACTGTCTTCCGTGCTGAGCAGCTGAGTGAAGAAACTCAGCTCCCAGGGAGACTACACTTTTCCCTGGTTAATGACTCAGTGGATGGATAATTTCAGAGTTGCCAAACAGAGATTGTACTGAAAGTCTTTAGGGGAATTAGGTTGTTAGAGCTGAGCTGCATCAAAGTTGAGTTGCTACGGAAGCTGTATGTGGCTTTCTATATAAAATCATTTGTAAAATCATCTTTCTACAGATATGCAAGTTTCCTCATGGGAATTTCAAGAGGCTTTGGACTTCTCGCAGGAATAGTCTCCTCTACTGCCACTGGATTCCTTATCAGTCAGGTTGGGCCAGTTTATTGAACATCTGCAAATGGCAGGTATTGCTTTAGGTACTGGAATTACACACTGTTTTCTCAAAGTCTCATGGTGGAAACAAGCATTGATGTCAGCACAATTGCTGTATTCATAGGCGCCTCTAAGTCAGACTCTGGTAGGTTGCTCAGGGGAAGAATATAAAAACTGAATTTCTCAAGATCGATAGATGTTAGACTGATAAAAATGAGCTGTTCAGGTTCAGAAGATGGCATATTTAACTTCCTAGAGGTAGAAGAACATGAAACAGTTGTTCATTATGACCAGAGTGAATTATACATGTCAAGGAATAGCAAGAGATGAAAATAGAGGGGTAGGAGAGGAAGATCATGAAAAATCTATTCAGACTTACTTCAATGTTTAAGAAAAAAATCACAAAAGGAAACACAAAGTGTCCAAAGGTTGAAGAACAGTTAATTGGGTGAAAAAAGAATGGCCTTAAGGAATGTGGGCTATGAGGCCTGCTCACAAAGGTGTGGAAGTGTGAGATGGTGAGGAAGACTGAACCAGGCTGAGATGGAAGGACTGATGAGAGTCCATGTACACAGAGAAGTTTTGTTTTGTTTTTAACGTCTCTATGTGATCTAGTTTCTAGGTTAATTTTTGACCACATTCCTAGGACTCCACTGTGATTATAATGCTGGAAGTGAGCTATAACTTACTAGTGCTCAGTGAGGAGGGTCACATAGGCAGAGCAAATAGAGTTCATGTTGCAGTGAGATGGGTTGTTGTAATTAATGTCAAAAGCCAAAACCAAAATGAAACACAGACAAGACAAACATGAGATCTTATGGATGCCATATAAGCATAATTTTAAGTGAGTAATACTACATTTTTGTGAATGTTGCCATCCAACTTTCCAGAAAAACATTAGTGTAATTATGTTTGTCTAAAGAAATAGTCATCCCAGCTCAGAACACAATATGCATTTCAGAGTTGTCTTCTTTCCAACAGTTTCATAAACGTTCTTTGATGACTTAAGGTGCTAAATGGCTTTTGAATATAATTCCCCATATTCTTTGTGAACGACATTGCCCAACACACAACATAGAGACATCTAGAACTGGTGGATAAGGAGCCTGTGAGATTGATAATTATTCTGTGTTTCTTTTGTACCCAGGATTCTGAATCCGGATGGAGAAATGTCTTTTTCCTGTCTGCTGCTGTCAATATGTTTGGCCTGGTCTTTTACCTCACATTTGGACAAGCAGAAATCCAGGACTGGGCCAAAGAGAGGACTGTCACTCGCTTCTGAGGATCTAGAGTTCCAAACTTAAATGTAGTACTGAGTGTTAACTTTTCAATATTTTTTACTTATACCATTCTTTCTTTATATTTTTGAGCAAAGACTCAGCAGTTCTTAACTCTGGTTCTGCATTAGAGTTTCCTGTGCAGCCTCTAAAACAGGGGGTCCTCAAACTTTTTAAAAAGGGGGCCAGTTCACTGTCCCTCAGACTGTTGGAGGGCCGGACTGCAGGCCCTGGGACGAGTTGGCTGCTAAGCAGGACAGGTAGCGGTGGCAAAAACACCCAGTGGGCTGGATAAATGTCTTAGGTGGGCTGCATGTGGCCCGCAGGCCGTAGTTTGAGGATGCCTGCTCTAAAATATACTGATGACTGAGATCTGCTCCAGAGATCCCAAATGAATTGGTCTGGAGTAGAGCCCAGAGACCACTAATTTTTAGATATTCCATAGGGTTTTCTAACATGCAGTCAGGGTTAACAATTGCTGGACAAACTTGAAAAGTCAATTCCTATTGCCTTAAAATTTTCCTCTTTGGAAACTTAATTAAAGCTGAATAAAAATCTATGTGAAAATAATCACTGATAAATCCCTTCATGGGGTGATTGTTGAATACAGAGAAGATAGGTTGGGAGTTATAATAGAATTTTAAAGCTGTAATCCAGAGAATCAACATTTTTATTGTTTTTTTATACATTGTGAACAAGGATGTTTATTTATGTGGTTAAATTCTATTAAAATTACATGCTAAAATTAAATAGACAATTTTTAAATTATTTAGATTAGGTTATTCCCATAAAATAAAACTGATATTTACTTATCCTAGCCTTTGCAGGAGATTAACAATGGGAAAATGACCAAAAAGAGATTAAAAGAATGAGGTTATCTAGAAATCAAGGACAGTGAAGATAGACTTGGAAAGTTTTTACTGTGAGAAGAATGGAGGTGAGGGGAAGCAATGGGGACACTTCCAGAGTGAACTATAGAAATATAGTTTAAAGCAACACTATATGATGAAAATTTAAGGGAGATGACAGAGGCACTTTCAAGTGAAATGACAATTTATATGAGGGAGAAAAATACTGAAGGTATAACAAGACAAAACAGGGCCTAAAAGTCACCACATACAAGTCATCACTTATGTTCATTTTGAGCATAAGAAAAAGGTGACCTTCTTCATACTTTCCTTACTTTCCCAAGATACTCAAATAGGCACCATCAACCCTAGCAGGAATTTATTCTAGCTCCTTCCACTTAAAACACATCCTCTGTTGTCTCCACACATAGAGCTGATTCTGGTTTTGCCAGTTTTCTAGAGAAGTTTCTACTGTATTTAAAATCCTAATGAAGTACTATGACAAGAACCTTGACCTTGGGCTAATTTAGCAAGTAAAGAAAATCTCCTAATGCAAATCAACAAGTATACTTGAGCAGCTGTTTTCAGGGAAACAGAGTATCAGACCCTGAGTGTGATACTGAGATGAGAACAGTGGCCTTGCCTTCTGGATATTGACAATACAGAGAGGAAGGGGAGTTTGTAGAAAATTAAAAGAAGGTGGGGGGGGCGGGGGGGGGAAGCGATGGTTAGGCAAATTACATATAGACAAAAGATAACCCCCCACACACAAGGACAGACAACCCAATAGAAAAATGAACTAATGACTTGAATAGAAGCTTCATAATTTTAAGTGAAATTTTAAAGGGCCCAACAACAAATAAAAAGATATGCAACTTCATTAGTCATTACAGAAATGAAAATCAAAACCATAACGAGATATACCATATACTTAACAGAATGAAAGAAGATGGAAAACAGAAAATGTTAGCAAAAGTGTAGGGCAACTGGGACTTTCATATACTATAAATGTGAGTGCAAATTAGAACTTTGGAATGTTGCTGACAATATCTCCTAAAGCTAAATGTACAATTCCAATGACTTAGACATTTCATTTAGAAATGCACATATATATTCATAAAAACATATAGATCAGTGTTCCCAGGAGCATGATCTATAATGGTTGAAACAGGAAACAACTAAATTGTTTGCTAAGTAAAGAAAAATTAGTAAATAAAATTATGATTTATTTTTATGACAGTGAGAATTAACAGACCCCACTGCACAACACCACAGATGGATTTCATGAACACAATGTCAAGTGAAACAAGACAAAGGATACATTCTCCTAAGGTTTACATAGAGTTTTTAAAAACATACAAAACTAATCTTCCCTGTTAAAAATCAAGCTAGTGGGCTGGGCACGGTGGCTCACACCTGTAATCCTAGCACTTGGGAGACCAAGACAGGTGGATAGCCTGAGCTCACGGGTTTGAGACCCGTCTGACCAAGAGTGAGGCCCTGTTTCCAAAAAATAGCCAGGAGTTGTGATGGGCACCTGTCATTTCAGCTACTTGAGAGGCTGAAACAAGAGGATCACTTGAGCCCAAGGGTTTGAGGTTGCTGTGAGCTAAGATGCCATGGCTCTCCATGAAGTGTTGATCAAGTGAGACTATGTCTCAAAAAAAAAAAAAAATCAAGCTAGTGATTTCCTTTGATGGAAGTGGGAACCATGACTGGATGGGGGTGTTTAAGAAGGGTTCCCGG